TCGTTGATAGCCAACATTTCTCCTGGATCGTTTCCTTTTCATCTTCCATTGATTTGATATCGCGTTGTAACTCTTGAAATTGAGCTTAAACTCTTCTTCAAATTCTGATTCATGCTGTGGACCATTTTGAAATTTTCAATCAGCTGTTCATACTGTAAATAAGAAAATCAAATAATTAAAATATAATCCATGATTAAACACATAAGAATATGAATGAAAAGTATGACAAAATGGTTTGAATACCTGTTCGTACAATTGAACAATATCTTGGTCTCCTTCCACGTCCGGGGAAACCTCAATTTTAACTAAAAATCGTGCCAAATAAGCTCGTTGTTTAAGCTCAGTCAGTTTACTTAACAGGTAGTTGAAAATGTGAGTATACGTATTCCTTTCACCGGAAATTAAATTTTGCCGGAATAAGCTCCTGTAAGGTGATATTTAATATACATGGAGTAAAAATAAAATATTTTCAATAGCAATAAAAATATAGTTATGACTGGCTTCTTTTTGTTTGGACTTGTTTAGAGTAATTCTGGTCCTAGTGAGCAAACAAATATTTCTGACTTGCAGTTAATTGTGAACTATGTGATTGTTTACCGATAAATTGTGATAAAAAAGCAAATGATGATTACAATGATGACAATAAAGCAAGAAAGAGGAATCAGAAGGTAAAAAAAAGAGATGCAAAAGAGCTTAAATCAACTTACGGTTCAATATTAGATGGTGGAGTATACTTAAGAATACGGAGCATTTCCATTATTTTGATAACAACCTCTTCACCATCGGAAATCTCTAGAATATCTGAGGTAATCTGATAAAAGTAAACGTAATAATATTAATAACAATACCAAGATGAAAGGAAAATCGCAAAAGTGTCTCTTTTAGGTTGCACATTTTCATGTTCAACTTGTCGATTTTTAAACGCAAAAGATTACAAGTTTACTTTTTCTCCATATTAACGAAGATAAAACTTGAACGATTTCAATTGTAACACATTGTTAAAGCATTTTTCATAGCATTCACGTAATAAACCAAAAGAACCAATTCATGATGTACTGAAAATTAGAAGCAAAAAGACTTACCGTTTCATCAATAACATGAAAGATGTCAAACAAAATTTGAATCCTTTGTTCACCTGTAAGATTATCATAAGTAACCAGGTTTAAATTTTTCTTGAATGGCTCTTTATTCAACTCGCTAATAATAAACTTGATACTCTCCATAATTAGTTAAATAATAATAATTAAACAAAGATATTAAACAAATCACAATCTAAAAAAGACTAAAACTGGTTAAAAGCGTAACAGACAAAACAAAAACCGTTACTATGGCAAAAACCAGATGAATCATAAGTAATTTGAAGCTAAAATCTTTTTACCAGTTTTATGCTTACAAAAATATTATAGCATAAAGAGGTTAAAAACTATCAAGATAAAGCTTAAACTTGACATCATCTGCGTTAAAACCGACACTTTTAAATTTTGAACATTAACCATGAACAATTGTAGTTGATAAAAAGAACTAGTTTATCAGATTTCAGTTAAAATCTTGAAGCGTACAACCATTATTATTATTAATATGATTACATTTGGAGAAAAAGGAATCAAAAAGCTAATCTTCTTGTTTTGTTAATCTTACAGAACATAAATGTCTTTTTTTCAGGTTCACATGATGATATTTTTTGTGTCAATGAAACAAGATAAAACAATTGTCTTTAGGCCTGACCATTGATTTTTATAGTCAAAGAACATGGTAAAGTAAAATAACCTGAATTGAACTGGAAAAGCACCGGAAACATAAAGGGAATCATAAAGATGATGTTGATGATATGAGAGTAAAGTTGAAACACGAAAGAGTTTGAATCATTTGTTGTTTAAAGCCGATGAGTTTAAATGAACGATATCCGATTGATTTCATGAAACACCGCATGATGTCAATTGAACAGATGTGAAGCAGAAGATGATGAAGATATTTAAGATGTTTGTCAATTGTATCCAGTTACAAAAGCAAAAGTAAAACCAAAATGTTGACCAATTAAATGGACTTCATTGATTTTTATATTTACTTTTTTGTCCATTTCTTTTCCCTTTTTAAGCTTCCAAACCTGAAAAGACATTTTCTTGATTTTGATTTTTCTTTTAACAGTTACTTCTCATATTGAATTTAATAATAATAACGATAGTTTGGGAGGTTACAATGAACCATGAAAAGTTAATCAAAACGAGTTAACAATAAAATTTCACGAAAACGATGACCATTTTTAAAATGGACTTTTAAAGCTACTGTTTCTAAGCAAACGATAAGATGAGTTGAAAATGATGATGACTTGAAAACATTTTAGCCAATGATTTTTCATTTGAAAGCCAAGTTTAGCTGAAAACAAAATGACCAGATTTTAACCCAAAAAAACACAATCAATACAAATTCAACTGCAATAATAATTTACATTCTCGATGAAATGTGATTCCATTTTTCATGTCCAGTAACGATGTTTTATTGTAAATAGGAATGGACAGAAATTGTATGAAATCTCAGTTCAATACAAAGTTCTAGAGTCGATTTGAAAAGCCATTTTCATTGAGCATTTCAAGTGGAAAATGTAAACATAGAAATGAATGATTTTAATGATTAAAGTCAACAAATTTGGGTTGAATTTGCTTCAATTTTCAGGTTAACCAGAGTTAGAGTTGAACAATTAAGGATGTTGAATGTGAACAAAAGAAACGGTTTTAAGCTTTAAAATTGGTTTACCTTTAAACTGATCTTTTGATTCATCATTTTCCCATTTCTCCACCAATTTGAGGTTAACAATTGTTGAGTGAAAAGTCATAATGTTGAGTCTAAAAAATGTATTGAAATGAAAAAAAGATAGAGAAGGAAGAGAAGATGAAAATTGAACAAAAATATCGGTTAAGATGAAGAGAATGGCGAAGAAAAATATGGTTCAGTGATCTGAATTATGAAGAGAATGAAGACACAAAAAGAAGCAAATTTTTGCATTTTATTTTCTTCCTTTTTCCACCAAATTTTTGCCATCTTTTCAATTTCTCATTCACCATCTTCCTCATGATCACCATCTTCACCATCTTTCCTCTTTTTCACTCCACTATTTGTCTAGCTACCTCTTGAGAGTTGAATTTTCACCAAAATTTGAATGATAATTTTACTTTGTCAGTTTTCCTTTATCCTTCACATTTCATCAAATCTTGTAACTTATTTATTTTCAGATTTGAACAGAAAAATTTGTTGTCTCGATGGTTCGATAAATATTGTAACAAAAAACTGGTTTTAACCAGGTTGGTTTGGTGCTACCTTTCCCTACCTCAAGTAGGTAGGGAAAGGCCATAATTGGTTGAAATTTGGAGGTCGGCCATTTTAAACGGGAGAAGATTTTCTCCCTCATCCAGCATAAAATGGCCGACCATTTCTTTGTTTGAGCGCGTATCTAGCCACCCGCGGAAGCCCTGGTCAACCAGTAATCGATATAAGTAAAATACTATTTGATGTTGTGAATTTCACCTCTTACATTTTCACCATATTAGTAAATTCTAATTGACTATATGTACTCTAAAATGAAGTTATTCAAAGGTGTTTTGTGACTAGTGAAATTATTAACGGTGGGTAAAACAACTATTGTATTTACATATTTACAAGTGACTAGTTTAACCGTATTCACAACGCTACATCAATATACAACTGTATCAAAATTGTGGTCGTGTAACTATAAGGACACAGATCATCCATCTACTAACTCTCCATCTAGGACCCATCTATTCTCAGTTCATCACCTAAATCATAATCTGTGACCTTAAGGATCAGCAACTTGACTATCCAGTGAACAACTTGGTGAACAGTGTTCATCCTGACCATCTTAGCCTAAAGAAAACTATAGTGATCCCGATTTTCATCCGGTGGTGAATGGTGTTATATCTATTATGAGATAGTTAATTTTTATTTTGATTGTAATAAATAAATGAATAAAATTTCCACAACAAAACCAATTCTCTATAGTCCCAGTTGCGGCAATATTGTTTACTGTCCACTGGTTTGGTCATCATTTAGTGTCTTTCCGTTCAATCAAAAGTTACATTTTTATCCATTTTTTACAATGTTTACAATGAGAAACTAGACAATCTTTGTAACCCAATTTCAGATGTTGAAGCAACATCAATTGTGATGATTTCTGGTCTATTCAAATTGTGATTTGAAAATGTTTCAATTGAAATGCTCATCCATGATACAGATCAGTTTGAATTCAATGTTTTCTCAAATTCCATTTTAAACTCTTTTCTCTTTCAGCCTTTTTCCTTCAAATCATTGAGTTGAACCTTTTTTTGTTTGCCAATAGCAATTCAATTAGACTAAAATTTGGATTGACAAAAAGTGAATGGAAATCGATTGCCTTTTTTCCCTTCAAATAAGCCTTTTCAGCAAGGAATGTTGGTAAAACTAAAGGAAGATGAAATTTCAATTGAAATGGTGAACAATCTGACGATTCTGAAGGCTTGAGAAAATATTTTAACAGAAAAATAAGATTGATTTCTATCTATTTTACTCTGAATAGCAGATGACAATTGGTTATAACAAAAGTCT